TAGTAAAAAGAATGTCCATGATACAAAATTTGTTCACAAATTCAAAAATGTTTGACAACTTTAAAAATGTTCCAGTTATCCATATTTGTTCACAACTTCAGCAAATGCTGTTTCGGAATTTTTTTCTCAACTGTTAAAAAATGTCACATTGAAAAATTCGCAAATTCAAAAGATGTGCGTGAGAATCTAAAAAAAGTTTCGTGTTTTTCTAAAAGTTGTTCGTAATTTTTAAAATAATTTTTAAAAAAATTCACGTTTTGAAAAACAATTCTTGTTTTCCAAAAACGTTTGCATTTTCAAGAAAAGTTCGGAATTTCGAAAAATGTTCTCCTATTCAATTTTCTTCCGTTTTTCCCTAAAAATAATGAGTTTTCCCAAATAATGTTCGTGTTCCAAAAAAGTCAGTTTCAATCTTTTAGAAAAAAGATCAAATCTTCAGCGGCTTATGGTATCTTTTCAGACCTTTTCACAACTTTTCAGCAAATGTTCAGAATTTAAAATTTTGTTTGCATTTTATCTCTTTATCCACAAAATGATCGGTAATTCCAAAAAAGTTCCCACTTTTATTTGTTTTAAAAAAAATCATGTTTATGAAAATTAGTTGGCAAAGTCAAAATATGTTCGAGGAATTTGAATAAATGTTCTCATTTCTGAAATTTGTCATAAATATGGAAAATTTTCTCTAATTTTAAAAAATATTGCAGCTTGTCCAATTTTGTTCACATATTCCAAAAATGTTCATGTTTTTGGAACTTTTGAAAAAATTGCGTTTTGAAAAAATTCATAATTCCAAAAAATGTTCGTGTTTTGAAAAAATTGTTCGTAATTTTGAAAATATTTTGCGTTTTCAAATTTCGTTGACAACTTCAGAAAATTTTGAGGTATTTCAAATCTCCAAAAATAATCACATATTCAAATCTGTATGCTGCAGTACATGTATAGAAAATAACATGTAAGAGAAATATCCCACAATACAAAGTTCTTAAATACAATCGCGATGCGGTATAGTTCATATGCGGCCGTTCAGTCCTGTGGTTAGCAGCGCTTGTTGAGGATAGGGACGTCGTAGGTTTGATTCCTCATGGCGTCATTTCCTGTTTTGCAATTTTTTACCGCTGTAGACACACCTCGGGGTCCTCATACTGGGCCGGCCCAGTCGGACGCCTCCTGTGTGCATCACGCTGGCTATTCGCCGCAAAATGCGGCACATAGGACCTCCTATACCATGCATTATGCCTTTTTTTAGAAATATACCATGCATTATGCCTCAAACGGAAGCTCGACGCACATGCGCGATGCACGACTGGGCCGGCCCATCGACGCGAAAGCCACCTGTGTTTCGTGTACAGCGGGTGACCTGAAAAAACGCCGACAAACAGGTTGGCTACGCTAGGATTCGATCCCACCATCTCGCGCACACGAGATAGCAGAGACCGCGACCAGCTAGCCACTAGATGACAAAGGTGCTATTGAATGTTTAAGCGCGGAAGACTAAAACAACATCCAAAAGGGTTGAGAATTTAGAAAAAATAGTTTAGAAACATTTCTTCAAAATTTCAAACAATTCAAAATGCCACAAATATTTTCTGATATTCTAAGCTTATTTTCTAAAAAAATGTGATCAATATTTCTAGTCCGAATTTTGAAAAAACTCGGACATTTGGTACAAAACCTAACAGTTTTCTAAAACTTGAACAATTTTGGAAAAATTGAAACTTTTCTGACGTTGTGAATATTTTTGAAAACAAGAAACATTTTCTGAAATTCTTGAACTTTTTTTGAAGCGTGAACATTTTTCTGAAATTGGGAGCCAATTTTGGAAATGAGAACATATTTCGAAATCCTGCACATTTTCTGAAACATGAACATTTTATGAATGACATCCTGAACATATTTTGAAAAAGAGAACAAATTTTTAAAACATGAACATAACAAAAATTTGAAAACGAGAACATCTTTTTGAAATTAATGAACATTTTTGAAAACATGAACATTTTCTGAAATTTTGCACAAAATTTATAACAAGAACATTTTCTGAAATTCCTGAAAGACTTTTTGAACCATGAACATTTTTTGAAATTGTGAACAAAATTTGAAAACCGGGACATTTTATCAAATTCCTGAAAAAATTTCAAAACATGTACATAACAAATTATTTGAAAATGAGAACATTATTTTCAATTTACTGAACATTATTTTAAATTGTGATAAAAATTTAGAACAATAACGTTTTTTGGAATTTCACAAATACTTTTTGAAACACATACATTATTTGAAATTGTGAACATAATTGGAAAATGGGAGCATTTTATGAAATTCCTGAACATTTTTCAAAACATGAACGTAACAAATATTGGAAAACGAGAACGTTTTTTTGAATTTATGGAACATTTTTTACAACACAAACAGTTTCTGAAATTATGAAAAAAAAACTAAAACAATATTATTTTGTTGAAATTCCTGAAAGTCTCTTTGTAACACAAACATTTTTTTTGAAATTGTGAACAAAATTTGAAAACAGGAACACTTTATGAAATTCCTGAACAGTTTTTCAAAACATGAACGTATCAAATTAAACCCCGAACTCCTCGCGTCGCCTCTCTCTGGCGGCACGGGGGATCCCCTCTGCCGCCGCCTCCTTCCCACCTCCCTTCAGCCCCTCACCTCGCCGCCGCCTGAGGAGGCCGCCGGCAAAGCCCGGTCAGGCTCCAAGGAGGGCGGCGGCGGGGCATCTCTCCACAAGGCGCAAGGGCGCATCTGGTGTGGCGGCCTTGGGCGGGCGGGCGAGCGTGGCTCCAGCGCGGGCGTGCGAGCGTGGCTCCGGCGCGGGCTGGCGAAGTTCCGGCGCGGGCTGACGAGGCTCCGGTGGTCCGAGCGGAGGGGCGACGCGTCGGTTGGCTCGTGGGGGCCTCAAGCAGCGCGGGATCTGGCATTCAGGGACGCCGTCAAGGGGTTCGTCGATCTGACGACGGCAGGAGCGTCGTGGTCACTCGAGGCCGCGACGGAGGCGCCAGAGCGTGGTGCACGCAGATCTACAGAGGCTGCCGCGTGGATCGTGCGATGTGGCAAGGGGCGGCGGTTCGCGGCGCAGGTGTGGCGAGGTCGCGCAGTGCGCGTTGGCGGCGGCGCGGTTTCAGGCGCTCTGGCAGGGGCGCCGGCGAGGCGCGGTGCGGATGCGACAGGCGGGCATTTTGGGCTGGCGGCTAGGGGCGGACTCCGTCGGCCTCTCTGCATCAGGTCCGGCCTGGTGGCGGCTCTAGGCAGCGACCTGCAGACGAGGTATCTCTTCCTGATGTGGTGAAGAGGCTGCAGTTTTTGGCTGCCAAGGTGGAGGACGTGTGGAGATGCAGCGAGGGAAGGTGGGCTACCGGTTTGGCTGTCGACCGGAGGATCACGAGGGCTGGGTGAAAACCCGTCGCTGGCCATGGCCGGAGCCTGTGACGGTGGCGTCTGTGGACGTCGTAACCTTCTTGAAGGCGTCGTCAGGATGCTCTCTCTTCCTCTGCGAGGGACAACTCCGGGGGAAACCCCAGACCCGGAGGGTCAGTCGTTGGCGGCGTGTTGGCGTCGTTTCCCTCTCGAGGGCATCGATTTTGGAGTTCAATCCGGTCAGAGGGACCAGCTGGTGTGTTGAGGTTGGTGGTATGCTTTGGTGTGGCATCGAGGCTTCTGTGGCAACGACGACAGGGCAAGTGAAGTCGGAGACATTGCAGTGGTAGTCGGCTCTTCTTCGGCGTGTTCGTGGGATTACCTCGGTTTGGTTGTTGCGGTGAAGTCGGAGCTGCGGCGACGGGGTCCCGGTGGCAACGATGACAGGCAGCACGTGGTCCGTTCGGTGGTCTTCCACGACGCCAGTCTTGCATAGTTCTCCTTTGGATCTTTGCTTCAGAGTCGGAGCTGCGTAGCCCTCGATGCGGGTGGTTGAGTTCTGGCATGGATCTGCATGTTTTCCTACACAGCCTCTGCGGTGAGTGTTGGTTCGACGTTCGTCCACAGAGAAGTCGGAGTCGCTTGCTCGGGGATTAGGGATGGCGATGACGCCTGTTTGGGGAGAAGTGATGACGATGACGCTTGTGTGCTAGCTTGACGAGGCACTCTTGTAAAGGTGTGCGTGGGATATCTTGGTGTGCCGCTCAGCGGTTTGTGACGGTTTTCGCCCGGTTTTCCGTTGATTAACTGGGCAATTCTCTTCTGCTTAATTAATGGATGAGGCAAATCTTTTGCCTCCGTTTCGAAAAAAAAATGAGAACATTTTTTTGAATTTACTACACATTTTTTGAAATTGGGAACAAAATTTAAAAGAATAACATTTTTTGAAATTCCCGAAAGACTTTTTGAAACACGAACATTTTTTGAAATTATGAAGAAAATTTGACAATGGGAACATTTTATGAAATCTCTGAACGTTTTCTGAAACTGAGAGCAAATTTTGAAAACAAAAATATGTTATAAAATTCTGAATAAATATTTGAAATCTTGAAACAAAAGAAACATGAAAAAAGAAAAAATGAAAGAGCAAAGAAAAGAAAAGAAAACAGAAAAAGAATAGGAAAAATTAAAATGAAAAAATAGAAAAAGAAAAGAAACAAAAAGGAAATAGAAAAACCGGTTCAGGAACTTCTAGAAGGTTCCCAAAACCAGATTCGCACAATCGTTTGAACGGGCTGGCCCATCTGAACGCTTGTCAGATTTGCCCCTGTGTGTCGCGTCGACTACTTGCCGCAACGAGCGGCAAATAGGAATTTCCTTATATCGCCTCTCTAATTGACAATATGTGAATTTCCCGCACGAGTATGTACTCTCTATTTGTGAACTAAAATTCATCATTGTCCACACTTACACGTACAAAGGTGTACAAGAAATTCACGTGTAAACAGCACACTTACATTATTGAGTACAAACAACACATGACTTGAAATGCAGTAGTAGTAGTAGTAAGTAGTAGTAGTAGTAGGGAAGATAACACGTACAGTTGCAAGCGATCAATCAGCGAGGCATGGATGATGATCGCACATGCACAACCACTACCCCCTCTGGACGATCGATCAAAAGACCACTTCGGCGTTGGCAAACTCCTCTCTCTTCTGGGCCATGTCTGTCACCATTTCACCAAACCTGCACGGTGGGTTGACCACTGGCACCGTGCCATGCGCGCACTGTCCACCATGCCCACGGTGAAGTCCATTGGCATGCAAGTCCTTGGACTTCTGTGCGATGATAACGGAGTTCACCACGTCGTCGTCGGGGTGGCACACGGCCAGCACCTTGAACCCGCCTCCGGCGATGTCCTGGGGGTCTACGATCGGGTACAGGAACCCGCGTGCCCCGTGCGCACTGCGTACAACGAGGGCCGCCCCGTCAGCCATGTGTGCACCGAGGTGCGCGATCACCTTGGCCTTGTCCTCGGCGGCCATGCCCACAAGCGCGGCCAGGAAGACGACGTCGTACTTAGAGAGCTCGCCGGCGAGGTCCGCGACGTCGGCCGTGTGGAACGACATGCGGGCGCCCACGTCCTTGTCCGCGCGGAACAGCTTGCTGGCGCGGTCATTGGCCGCGCTACATGGGTCGTAGTTGTCGAACATGGTGTCGGGCAAGTGGCGTGCGGCGAGGACGAAAGAGCTGAACGGCAGTGGGCCAGAGCCGATGAAGGCGACGCGGGCCGGGGCGATGCCGCCGGGCACGTAGCGCGCCAGGAGCTCGTACTCGAGCTTGCTGAGGTTGATGTAGTTATTGTAGTAGGGGAACATGCCGAGGTGGTCGAGCGGGTTGTCAAAGGCGGCGAGCATGTCGGAGTAGTGCGCCTCCAGCTTCCCCTCGGCCTCAGAGCAGAGGCGGATGAGGCCCTCCCGCATCTCCTGCGCCTCCGGGCCGAGCTTGGTCACATCCACGGGGCTCGGGGGAACGCACGCGGTGACCAGCTCGGTGAAGAGCGCGTCGACGTCCGGGGACGGGCTGAGCGACGGCAGCTTGGCGATGGCGGCGTGGAGTCCGGTGATCTTCTGGACCAGGGCATCCACCTCCTTGTTCTGGGCAGCCATTTTTCTTGCCTTCTAGGTACCTCAGGCACAGGAGTGGAGTAGAGAGTGGTTGATTGAGCTGTTTGCTTGATGAGCTATGGGGAGCGGGCACTACAGGGTATAAATATGTAGCTAGCTGCTGTCTAAAGTGGACTGGTGAAGCCGCAAAAAGGGCTGTTTTCATGCGTCCCTGCCCAGTGAGGCTGGTTTCATGCCTCTGTTCTGACCTGTTCAGTGTTCGCGTTCTGTTGTTCAAGTGGACAGCGTTTTCTATGTCTATTTGTAGATAGCTCTGAATAAAGAGCTTAGGGCAAAACAGGGAAACAATGATCATCGTCTACACCAAATTAAATTAATAAATTAATTACGAGACATTTATCATAATTAAGCGTGGATGTAAAACAACTCACAACTAAGAATATGTAAGCATACGCTGTGAAAGGTAGGACAGATGACCTCAATAATTGCAGGGCTAATCATTAAATTGGTGTAAATTTGTCGGATTAACACTTAATTTGTATTCCATGAACACTTAATTGGTGCTCCAATTATTACAATCTTTTATTAGACAAACGCTTAACTTATACTCCAATTATTTTGGTCTTCATTTGCTGAACAGCTAATTGGTGTTCCACTTATTACGATGAACACTTAGTTTATTGCTTAAAGAGAAATTTGGTCCTTTATACGAGGCATGTGTTTGAATGAACTCATTTTAAACCCGGCGGATCTCATGGGATTTGGCCGGCTATTGTCTTTGATGGATCCACGTGGATTCGATCTTCGTTCGTCTGTGTTCATGTGTCTATAGATTGGATACTTTTGATCTACACATCTCTTCATCAGCGGCGGTTGTTGTCCAGGTGCGTTGGTCCTATGGGGCCTAGCACACCGACTTTATGACTTTCTACTACAACACGGTTTGCCCGGCTCCGATGAGGGAGAAGCGATGACGGTGGCGCACCTTCGGCTCGCTCCAGTGCATATAGTCGTCGCTGGGTGGTCACGGAACTGAATGTATTTTCACTTATGGTATTCTTTAATTTGTACTACTTTGACACATGATGAATAGATTGAAAGTTTTCCTTGCAAAAAAAAGAAAGATGTTATTGAGAGCTAATTTAACAAGATATAAGCAGCGAATCTTTCCAAGAAAACAAAACCGTAAGTTCTTAGCTGATCCTAGTTGTTATGCCGCCACATTCAATATCCACCGTTCGATCTTACTAGTGTCTTTGCGCAGCAGTATGCTCCTTCTGAACTTAACTTAACTTAAGAACAGGACAGCGATACTGAACATTCAAAGCTTTGACACCCATTCCAACAACAAAAAAATTAGAGTTATGACACCAGTGACTTGGAGAGGCGTGAAGATCCTGTGCTTGACCTTCTTGGTTAACTTTCTTGTTATCTGAGAGGAAGTTAACAGCGTCCAGAGCCAGAGAAAAACACATTTGTTGCGCAAAGAGTAGTGTGAAAATCGCGAGAGAATGGATGGATTCCGTGCATGGAACTGAAGCCGGTCGGTCTCCTTAATATAACGAGTCATGATGTACAGGAAAAGGGAGGTCAGTGTGCCGAACAACCGGATCGCAATCGTACTCGTACCTGAGTTAGTTAGTTAGGTGAGATAGTAACAACAATGCTAACTGCATAGATTTGATCTAAAATGGGACTCTTGTTCTTATCGGCCTACAGGGAGCACGACTTCAGCTTTTGTTTGAATTGTTGAAGAGAGTGCAGCAGATCGGGAAAAGACCTGCACTACCCATTTGTTGGTAATAGTATATTTACCAAAACTGGGTGTGCTCACATTCATGTGGACAGAATTCTCAGTGGAAACTGAACAATGAGGCTTGATCTCGTGGGAATCCAAATCCTGTTCATGCTGGTCACTCTTACAGAAATGATCCCAATGCCTCGCATGTCCGATCACGGCCAACGAAGTGGCCTGCTTGTTGGCTTGTTGCTAAATGGATCACCGTACTGACTTGCAGGATAGCAGTAAGCCGGTGGCAAATATCTTGTCTCGTATACTAGTTGCTTCATCGGTGCTCATTATGTATTTATGTATAGTGGCTAGGAAGTGAAAGGGCCTTAAATTTACGACTTTACAATTACTTATTGATGTTCCACCTACCACAGTAGTTCATCTCTATCATAGTTACACCGTTCAAATAAAAGTTAAAGGGGTTTTACAGAAAGTACGTACATGCATGGAGGCAATCTGGGTGCATAATGATATGAGAATGAACATATCTTTTGGGTGTTGCGAACATGATCAAACATAAATCTGTGGTATGCAGTTGTAATCATGTATACAACAAATATACAGGCCCATTTTGAAACAGAGAAAAAATAGGAATTGTTACGTCTTGTGTATTCTATGGAAATGGGAAACACATAAAGTACACATAGATATTGTTTGGATGCCCTACATAAGTTTTGCAGGAAAACATTTATTGATTGGACAGAGAGAGGATAAGAGATAGACACAACTTGTCTTGCACATCTCAAAGAAAAAACTAAAATGCAGTCAAAATATCTTCCTAACATCACTAATGTATAGAGAGTTTGGATGCGACTTAACCAAAACTTAACAAAATAAAAAGGAAGGATGGTCAAATAAATATCTACTCATAGAAAAATGTTTCCAGTTTTGCTTGAGCTCGTATTTAGAATCCTCCAAACTATGAAGGAATGAAAAGTTTTATAGAAATTCATAGGTCGATGTCTAGAAACTAATGAACTCATATAAAAAACTATGTGGCATTCTGTGATTGATATAAACTACTTCTTTCGAAGCCTGGCTCCAATTCCCGCAAAAAAACGAAAAACTAGCTCCATTGTTGACACGGTAGTTGAGCATGCGTAAGATCCTCCAATGGCGAAAATGATCTCAAACTCATGACAGATAATGATACGAAATTTATCCTATTGAAATGACAAGCTGTGACAAGGGTTGTGGAATTCAAAGCATATGTGTAGCTGCCGCGGTGATGCATCACACACCTTTTTCCCCCAACAAAGGGTGGTTTTATTAACCCAAAATGAAGCATCAAGTAGACACAAACACAATGAGCACAACCGGCCTCTGCGCAGGAGGGTGCACATAGCCAATATCAATGCACGCACACACAAAATACGCGCCGGCAAACAGGAAAGTCATCCAAGACCAAATCTATGCCTAAGCCAAGAAAAAGAAAAAGGAAACCTAAACGATCAAAGCAATGATCAACAAACTACAACCACGACCATATTCACACTAACCATATCTTGCCACTAGAAGGACAATGAGGTTCTTCAACAAAAATACCTTCAGGAAGGAGTGATGCACGAGCACCGCTGTTACTGGATTCAACCACTAGAGGCCAGAATCTAGAGTTTCACTTTAAAGAACAAGTCCGAGCATAACCGAGAAATGTCTTCAACAAGGTAACGACATAAAAACATCTCTATTGGCAGATAAAACGGACTGGAATCAGACCTAGGGTTTTCATCCACAGCTCGAGATCAGGTTCTATAAAAGCACCACCAAGCCGAATTCAATCATGTGTTGTCGCCATGACTTCTCCACAATCTTAGCAGCTACATGTCTTGAGTTAGAAATCCCACGTCCACCGCCACACAACCATATCCTCGGCGCCAAGCCACCATCCATAGATTGCACCTCACTTCTGAAGGTAGACTAACCGGAGCGAGAGCTGCGAAACCTCACAAAGAGGCCTTCCAGCAGCATCCCGCAAGCTCAGTTCAAGTCGATAGCTGCAACCACCAGATCCAGAGAGAGGAACCTTAAAAAGATCCTCTGGTTGCCACAGCAGTCCACAGGGCACGGGTGGCCGTAACCAGTGTGGATCGACACCCAAATGCCCAACCACAACTGAGTGCCGGGGGGAGCAATGCAGCAAGTGCGATAGAGCACGATTCAACAACTACAAGGATGGTGTCTAGCAACAGGACTACTTGCAGGCCAGCGCCGCAAGCCAGATCCGTAAACGGAACGCCCGAATATGTATCCATGCAGAGCACCCGCCGGTCTTCGTCATGCGAGCCAAGCCGCTACAGCCCGATGCCCACCGCAGCAAGGAGGTACACTGTTGCAAGGACCGCGCTGACATCCCACACTCAAAGCTCTCCACCTTTGTTGCTCTGCCATTGCCGCCACGTCACAACGACTAGCGTGTGATAACCACCACACAGGAATAGGGCCGTAATGAGGACTAGTAGGGAGTAGGGACACAGGGGAGTGCGCAGGAGTGGCCCCGCTGCCGCCACCGGCCGACGGATGGCCATGGACAGCGGCATAGAGGGTGGGGAAGAGGAGGCGGCGCCCTAGGGTTTGGGACATGGGGTGCTCCTGAGTCGCCCGGGTCGGTTCATCGGATGTTTGGTTTGTTCAGGGACGGACTCAATTTAAATTCAGCTTATAAGACCTCGTACAATGCAAGGTGCTAAGAGTAGTGCTTAGTAAAATAAACGTAGTCTTTTTAAGCACCAGTGCTTATCTCTACAGAAGAAATGCTTAACGAAGAATGTATTGCCTGCAAATGAGCACCGATGCTTAAGAAAAAGTTGGTTTATTTCCCTATAACACCTCTCTAAACATCTTGTATTGTACAAGGCCTAAAAAGATAAGCAGTGTATCTTTTCGGAAAAAACAAACTCGTCGTATGATCCTAGCTGTTGGCTTGCCAAGTTCGATCTTCACCGCTCGATCTTATTAATGTCTTTGGGGAGCGATACACTCATTCAGGAATCAGGAGTGAACTTAACTGAACAACATAACAGTGCGCCGTACTACACTTTCAGAGTTATGACACCCATTTAAAAAAAAGTTATGACACCAATGACCTGGACAAGCGTGAAGATCCTGCACTTGCCCTGCTTGGCCAAGCTGTTGGAAATATGAGCAATTTACCGAATGATTTTATTAACAGAAATACTAGATAAAGCATGACTAATATAGTAGAAATAAAACAAGTCATGCGTTCTGATAGAGAGAAGAAAAATAGCTTCTGCATATATGAACCGTAGCCTATCATATCTATAGCAGACAGTAG